AATATTAAATTTTGATTGTCAAACGGGAATTTCGAGCATTCAGTTCTTCGATCCCGATAATTTTGCTCCGCTTTCTTTACTTAAGACAAATTTTTACTATTATTCAACAAAAATTTAAGGAAATTCAAATCTGAACTGCCTCTATTAGCGGCTAACTATGATTTTATTTCACAAATTTAAGCTACCAAGGATTCTTCTATTTTCAATGCTGCGTTTTTTTTGCTTCCAGATCGAGCTGATACTTATTTTGATTCTGTCAAAAATAACCTTGAAAAATGACCGTGGTTCTGCTTAAAGACCTAGCTCGCATATTAGCGCTTTTATTTGAGCTTTCCATATATGCCTCAAAGCTGCATGTTAATTAGTATCACCTATCAATCTATCTGACGATGAATGAAATTCAATTTTTACCATTACGGCTGATCCCTATTATCATGAAAATCTTTTATTTGACGTATCAGCATAAAAGAAACAACTTCAGCCAACTGTTCTTTTCAAAAAATCTGTTCATAAAATTGAAATATTGTAAGCATAACACGAAAAACAACATTTAAAAAAAAATACTGATAACTGTTATATCTGCACAACATACACAAAACGTCCTACAAAACCAATTTTTTTTCGAACTTCACCGTTCTTGCAAGGGTATCCAGTAACCGTCCAAGTAGCCACCAGCGGATTTGGGGAGGGGACGAACGCTTCCCTTCCCCTCAGCGATTCGACCCCTGCAGACCCCCCGGGTTGACCTCCATAGACCGAAAATGCTAATCATACAATTTCATACACTTAGTCTATGGAAAATTGCTAGTCATACAAATTTCATACACTTTTGCAAAATGAGTTTAATCGAATTTCAAAGGTATTTTATAGTTATTTGGTATCAAAATTGGTATCTCTTCATAAAAAAAGGGAAAAAAATGGTATGAAAAAAATTGCTAACCATACAATTTCCATATATGGAAATTGTACGATTAGAATTTTCTTAAAATTTTTTTTTGTGAAAAAAAGCTTTGATCAATCAATTCAACTGCTGGCAATTCAACTGCTGGCTTTTTTGGGCTGCTACGACTGAAAACTTAGACTTTTTTTAAATTTTTGTTTTCTGAAAAAAAACACTAGTCATACAGTTTCCATATATGGAAATTGTATGACTAGCATTTTTTTGAAGGCGACAAAAAATTTTTGAAATTGCCCCCAAAAATTTGTTTTGGTTTTTTTTTCAACCGCAAATTGATTTTCGTATTCAAACAAACACTTTTTGAAAAAAAAAATTTTGCATGCGAAATTTATTATTTTTTTCAAAAACGCTTAAAATTCCTCTTTCTTTTGTACGACATGTTTTTTTATGCCTTGATTAATGTCTGGTAATTTAAAAACTCAAATTCTAGAAATAATCATCTTTGAAAATTATTGCCAAAATTTAAAAGTTCATTACTTTCGTTATGTTATTTGTCTGAGACAGTAGTAACACATGTCAAGCTGTTTCCAATGCATTTTTAATACCAGACGGCCAAACCGTTGGTTACTACGTTTGAGTAATCAAGGTTTATGTCATTTGTGTTCGGCTTACGAACACAACCGAAAAATTTTGAGAAATTAAAATGTAAAAAATCAATATTTTTGGTTTATGGAAAAATGCTAGTCATATAAATTCCATATATGAAAAAAATACTAATCATAGTCCTTTCATGCAATTTTCTGTACGTATGGAATTGTATGGAATGTGTATCACTAGCATTTTTCCATATATGGAAATTGTATGACTAGTGTTTTTGCTCATCCCGGGGAGCAAATGGCTCTTTTCGAGTTCCCTCACCCGGGTTGACCAAAAATGCTAGTCATACAATTTCCATATATTGAAAAATGCTAGTCATACACTTTCCATGCAATTCCATACGTACAGAAAATTGCATGAAAGGTCTATGATTAGTATTTTTTCATATATGGAAATTGTATGACTAGCATTTTTCCATATATGGAAATTGTATGACTAGCATTTTTGGTCAACCCGGGCCAAAGGGTCCCCTTCTGTACTATTTTGATCTATCATTTTTGGTTGACAGACCCTAAAATTTGTTTAAAGATAACGTTGGTGCCAAAATACACTTAATTTGAGGATGGGGGACGCGCACCAAAAAAAACGCAATTTTTTGGTAAACTTTTTCCAAAAAGTGCCGACAAACGACTTTTATGGCCGGTTAATACAAAAGTTTGCCTGCGGCGCAGAAAATTTAGTCAAAATGGGGTCCTTGTAGTGATTTGGGGGAGCTTAGAAAACCATTTTGCTCGACATGAAAAAAGGTCGACTAAGTTTTTCAAATTTTTTGAAAATCCGCCAATGCAAGTAACAAATTCTACATCCGCCCCTGCAAGTAGCAAACAAGGCTCCAACAAGCCAGCACTGTAAAAATGTAAACAGAAAAACATTTTTCAAGACATTTTTCAAAAGCTCTATTGAAGGCGTTTTTTATTTTGGTTCACTTTCAATTCAAACTATCTAAAATGATTTTAAAATAAAAAAAATCGCTTCCCAAAGATTCTTTGTTGACGAAGAATCCTAGGCGATAGTTCAATTTCGCTCAGTGAATGGTCAGAGCATTTATCAAAAAATTTGATTGCTGAAAACTTCACGTTTTTTTTGCTAAAACCTAATCGGGTTTTGACAAAACTGGCAACACCGTGTAAAAACATGTTCTTTTTTGATCAGAGATATAATAGGATTCATGTGCCTAGCTTAGGATTAATTTTTGACATTAGAACAAAACTGCTCTGCTCAAATTAAAACCCTGGATGCTCCAATTCAATTCAATCTGCTTATTTTAGCTTCAAAAAATGTAAACAGTATAAAAGTATAAGTTAGCCGGTTGTTGTGCATTTAGTTCCAACCACAATTTCACTTGTGCTGTTTTTGTCCGGTGTGGGATGAAGGGATCAGAACGAAAACCTAGAATTTAAGCATAATCAATTGTTTTAGTAATTATACGCATATATGGCTCAAGTTTTCATCAAATCAAATTTTATCAAAAGTTTTTTTCCAAATAGGCGCTAGAAGATTTTCAAAAATTAAATTCATTGTAGTAAAATTAAGTTTTTACGACTCAAAAAAGTTTTTGTTCTCGCTTTTTTGCTCAAAATTGAACTAAAAGTCAAAACTATCAAACCAAAGTCTTCAAAAATGTTACTGCTCTTCGAATTATGACAGAAAGGTCTTTGATATGACATGAACATCGAATCATTCTGATGGTAACTAATCAATTCTTGCGGCACCATACTTTTTTGAGGCCGGCCAAAGTAAATTTTTACTAAATTTTGTTAACGCCCCGTTCCAGAAAAAAATCGGAGCTGCGAGCAAGTTTTTACAAGAGAGAAACAGGTCTAAAACAACGTTTTAAGGATTTTTTACAAAAATTTTAAAAGCAATGCGTTTACTGGCGCTCGCTCTACCCTTTAATTTAGCGTATATTTCCGCCAAAAGCGCCTTTAGAAAATAATTAAGGTTCCCCAAAAACCACTAGTGTGCGGATTCGTTTGGCGAGCTCAAATAGCGTGATGCGTTTTTGCACAGAACTCGAATCAAAGAAAATCGAAAAATGCTAAAAACGATAAATAAATTCAACATTTTGGGCATATTGTAACTTTGAAAGACTTATAATTCGATCGCAAAGTTACCAAAGTGGAAACGAATGATTTTGGTCAAAAGTTTGTAGCTCAACACTCGGATGATGTATACAAAACTAACAAGACTGCTCGTATCAGGGCAAAGCCTTGAGTGTTTCTACTTTACTAAAAAGTCTATGGATTAGTCTTTGCTTAAAAGATAAGAAAAAATTTCAATTTTTAGTTTTTTTTCCTAAAAATTATCGCCTCACTCGCTATTTAAAGTAAAAAAAAATCTATATAATGTATATAGCAAAATTTTGAAAGTCACGTCTTACTTCAGTTTGAACGATTCCTAAGACAGATTAAACCTCCGCTTAAGCGTTACTAGAATGAAAATATAGCGCGTTGATTGTCCAAAATTGCAAATGTTGTCAATTTTAAACCACGAGAAATTTTTTTTAAACTCCGTCATTTCCTTCGAAAGAAGAAAACACAACCAAGTAAAAACCTTATTTCACTCTCTTTGGTTACCAGAAAAACTAATTGACAAACTCTGGAAGAGGGCCTGTTGCCGATATCAGTGCAAAAATTTGATGTTCCGACTTTCAAAGAAAAAAAGAATCATTTGTACTCGGCGTAGTTTTTTTTTCTCCAGACAAAATTCGACTGTTAAACCAGCATTTTTGCAGGAATTGTTTGTATAGCTCCCAAAAGGCTTTGTTATCCTCAGTTCAAATTTACAAAAAATTTCACCAGTGTTTTTAGTAGAAAGATAGGGTTTAGAGGAAGGTGGAGCAATAAAAAGAATGGTCCAAGAAAAATCTGATCAAAAAACCCGACGAGTATTAATTTTTTGGGCTAATCGAAAAAAAGCTAGCAAAATTATCAATGCTACGCACAAAATTTACAAATTATAGACAAAATGATGAACTTCATCAAGTTTATTTTTTAAGAAAATCCGATAGATTTTGTTGTTCTTACTCAAGTGATTTATCGGTTTATCGTTTGAAGATTATCTTTATAGCCAGTTTCCGATCATTAACGTGCGATGTATTTTGAGCTACTGACGCGTAAGTGGAAATTTGATCCGTCTACAAAATCGTTCAATATTGAATTGAAACATGCTATTTGGTCAATTTGACAGTTTGCTAAAGCGAACGATATCAGTTTGTTCTCCACTCAGCTTGTGCCGATAGAGGATGGTTTTCAAAAAAAAACCTTGGAAGAAATCAAAATTTGTTTTCTGAAAAAAAAAACACTTTTGAGGTAAACACTGTTCCATAGAGCTTAAAAGGCAGTCGGAACATTCAAGGCTTCGCCCTGGTACGAGCAGTGAACTTAATCATCTAGTTTGAAAAAACTTTTTTGTGTTCAACGTTTTTTTTGCGTTAAAAGAAACCTTTAAAGTAAAATTAATCTTCTCCATTGCAGAACTAGCGCAAAACATGCAGAAACTAGTTTTGTCAGAACTCATTCGGCTACAATTTGGGACAACTAATGAAACGTCTGTCCTTTACATCTTTTTCCGTCTGTCTGTAGCCTTCTGGGTTTTTACTCTGCCACGTCCAGAAATCTCTGCCTATAATAATTAATTGTTTTTTAAAACTGCTTATAAAATTTTTGCTGGTATTTTGGTGGGGGAGTCATCATAGCCGAATAATGTTTATTTTTTTTGACAAATTGAAGCTTGCAAGTATATTCTGAAACCAAGGTTTAATTATTATTTGGGAAGGGCTTTCACATTAGTTTGAGCTCTTTTGCGTTCGTTAGAAACGTGGCGTAGAGGATTTTTTTTTCAGTTTTTTGAGTCTCGTTAACTACAAGTTATTTAACCAGTGGTTAACAACATTCAGGGGTGGGGGCAGGGGATATTTTTTATTCTTTTTTTTGTTAGTATAGGCACAGGATCTATCTTTTTATTCTGATTGCGCACTGGATAAACTTGTATAAATGTTATTTCAGACCAAAAAAAATATTCTTGTGGCCGTAAAACTTATGCTCACACATGGTTTCCAGATCACGGGTGGCTTCCCAGCCTAAATCTCGCTTAGCCAAAGAGCAGTCGGCATACACTTCGGTTGCATCGCCCTCCCGTCTCGGCTTGATGACATAGGGGATCTCGGCTCCTGACGCTTTCCGGAACGCCTCCACGACCTCTAACACCGAGTGTCCTTTCCCAGTTCCTAGATTGTAAATTAAAAACTTTTTCAGAGAGTTGTCGATTAGTTTTTCGAGGGCAGCCACATGTCCAATTGCAATGTCTACAACGTGCACGTAGTCGCGAATTGCAGTCCCGTCGGGAGTGTCGTAGTCGTTCCCGAAAACACCCAACTCGGCTCTTCGGCCAGTGGCCACTTGTGCTACGAAAGGCATCAAACAGTTCGGAACTCCGGTCGGATCTTCGCCTATAGTGCCGGACTCGTGAGCTCCGACCGGGTTGAAGTACCGGAGATTGACTGCATTGAAACTCTAGAAGCAAAATTGAATTTTTGATAATAACATACATCATAATGAAAACATTTTTAAAAAAATAGTCTCGAACTTAGAGTGCCTCTGCAATTGCATTTACATCAATTGAATTGCATATATTGGTGTTTTAATGTGAAAGTTATTGAGTTTTTAAAAGTTTTGTCAAATTGCGTGTTGGTAGATTTCCGATGTGAAGAAGCGTTTAGAAGAGTTTGTTAGCTTCGCTGCTTTTGTTTGCTTGATTTTGACCAAGGTCATCAAAGCGTGAAAATGGAGGAAAAATTCGAAAATGTAAAAAAAAATTTTGAACTCTGAAAACTGAATTGTTAGCAGTTGATTTTGTAGGACTTCAGATCATTGCAGCGTTTTTTCCTGTTTCTTACAACGCCACTTTTTTGGTGTAACGTGCGATCTAATAAGTTAAACTATGAAAAACAAATATATTTTGAGCACGATAATTATAGTCAGCATATCATTTTGTAAAGCATTCAGGCAATGCGACTAAAAGTTAAAGAAAAAAGAAAAGGGCCTTCGTTACGGAGGATTTATTATTTGCATTTTGTTGTTACGTTTCAATTGCTCTGATACAATCAGGCCTGTTTCATGCATCTTTCTTTTTTTTTCAGATTGTTTATCGCTTTTTTGCAAACTTTTTCTAAGAGATTATGTTTTCCGTATCTACAGCCAGCCATAAACCTATATTCTGCGCTTTTCGCAAGGTGTTAACCTCTTTGTTTTTTTTTGGTGGAAGTTTTTGGTCCTAGCATATCTTAGTGGGGGTCGAAACACCACCCTGAGCAAAAAAAAAGACATGCAAACCTCGTTTGCCCTGCAGTAGTCCGAGAGCATCTGCTCAATGAAGTACTTGGTCCTCCCGTATGCACAGGTGCACCCCCCTGCAGGTGTCTGTTCCGTGATTGGCAGCTGCTCCCTCGAAGGCTCCCCGTACACTGTACAGCTGCTGGAGAAGATGATGTTATTGCAACCTGACTCAGCCATGCACCTGCAGAAACAGAACTATTTGCTGATTCTAATGGGCAGATCTAAGAATTTCGCGAGGTAGGGGGAGGGGTGGAATTGTCGGATTTATTGAAAAAAAAAATTGTCGACCTTGTTTTTTTAGTTTAACCAAATTCATTTCTGAGCTCTCCTAAATCACTTTAAAACCCTATTTTGATCAAATTTTGGCAAAATGTTATGATAACATGCCAATTGCTTTGGCGCGCGCCCCTTCTAGTAAGAATTGTTCAAACACCACTGGTATACTCAAGCTAACTACGCTAAATTATAAGAATAAAAGTAATTGTGTTGAATTAAAACTGACTGTTGTCTAAAGAGAACAATAGTGATGCGAAGTCCAATGCACTTCGTATACAGCACAACATATTTTTCGTATACATATTTGCACTTCGTATACATATTTTTCACATAAAGGAAAATGCTTTGAATGATAATCCTTGTTTGACAATACATTAACAATCTTCTTGAAATTATCTAGATGACCAAATACTGATTTTTTTCAAGTCAATTTTTAGAAAATTTGAACTGATCTGAATATGCAGCAAAACAAATCCTAACACTAAGAGAACTTTAACATAACAGAGTAATTGACTAGGCTATGACAAACAAATTTGGTCTTCTTATTTAACCTTGTAAACCCCTCGTTACAACATAAAATTGATGCATGTGTGAGGTGGGGGGGAAAAGGAAAAAGAGCCTTTGTATCTTGTAACGAGTTTACCCCCTTATGTAAAGGGGGATATTAACAAGATCCGTCAAAATAAAAAGCATTCATGAACCTGAAAGATGCTCATCTTGCACGTGTATAGCTCATCTCGAATATTTAGCTATTTCACTTTTGGGTCTTTTTTTTCTGATACCTTCCATTTTTGATAAAAGCAATGGGCACAATTTTTGTTAATCTTTTTGCTGAATAAATTAGCACCTTGGATTACTTCAACAAACCATAATGAATCCAAATTCATGAGGAACTTTCAAAAAACTTCAAAAAATTTTAAGTTTTTGTTTTCTCGGTTTTGTCACCAGCGAAGCAAGAAGAAAAAATATAATTATTATGTAATCTTTATTCCAGTATATTGTACTTTCTTATACAAGTGGGTAAAATTGACCATCATTGGTGACCGGTATATAAAAGCGACTGCTTTAAATTGCCCGCTAACTTCCGTCGTAGTGTTGATAATGACATACGATGCTTCACAAAATGCTGATATTTTTAAAACTCAAAGCCAAATGCCAGTATAGAGTTGTAAAATTAGAGAATCAAACGCAATTATATCCCTGAAATAGCCCGTTTTGCAGTTCTAAGCGACGACACTTCTGACACTGACGATAATCTGGTTGCCATAAATCGGCTATTTTGGACTTAATGGGCTATTTTTGAAATTTGTTTGCGTTAGTCTTACTGCCTGTTAGATCTATTTGAACTTTAAATTGCGGTAACGACCCTGAAAAGGACGGATAATTGTCTTAATACGGAAAATCGCATAAAAGCCCCTTTCAACGCGAGGTCAGAACTGAACAGCATGGGTGTCAATTTCAGCAAGACGTTCAATAACTTACATGCAATAACGTATAATTTTTTGGTGCTACCGCGAGTTTCGAGGAACGTGACGGGTAATTTATGTTTGGGTTGGTTTTTTAAAATTAAAAACTGTTAGACCAACTTTCAAATTAAAAACTGTTGGTCCAACTGTTGGACTTAAAAAACCACCCCAAGCATATATATATATATATATATATATATATATATATATATATATTGTTGGATCAACTTTAACTGTTGGGCCAACTTTAAAATTAAAAATTGTTGGACCAACTTTAAAATTAAAAATTATTGGACCAACTGTTGGACTTTAAAAACCACCCCAAGCATATATATATACCTATATATAAATATATAGCGCATTTCCTTATCTCAAATTCAATATATTAGCCATTTCAGAACCCTTATAATTTACAAAAAAAACAGATGAAAAATATAATTAAAAAAATAAATTCTAAACAAAAACATTTTTCAGATGATCTAAGTAGTTTTGTTAAAAAGTCGAAACACTGACTGAGCAAAAAAAACCCCTCATACATAAACATTCCGCACCTTCTTCGGTAGTCGGAAAAAAACAACACATCAACAGAAAAAAACGGGCACACACTGCGCGAGAGCAACAGCACATTGAGCAACCAAGCCTTCTAAAAAGAATCGTATTTAAAAATGACGAAAAACACCGGAACATTTTGGAAGAATTCTTAAATCGTGTTTTGCTAATCCAGGCACAAAAACCTACCAAAGCTTCAATGGTGGTAAAATGGCTGATCGCGAGCACCTACCAACTCATCTAAAAAACGCTCCGCTGGTGCCTTGTCAAAATTGTAGGCTTCAGTCTCTTGCATCGGTTCATCATAGTTTTTAATAACTTTCTCAAGACACGATAACCTAGCTCAAGTAAAACCTTCTCAAAATTTTATCAAGGCTTAAAGATGTGCAAATATCGAGCATTTAACCTTGCAAACTTTTCTGAAGTAGCGCACAAGAATTACGCAGCATCTTTGAATGACTGACAGTTAAATATCTGTCCTAGCCTTAACTAGCATCAAATTTAACAAAGAAGCCTTATATTACACCAAAAACAATAACTTTCTTACCCCTATACCAAAATTACTCACAACGGAAACCAAACTTTTGTTTACCAAATCTGAGCTCCATTTGATTATTTTCGGTTATTTTTCAAATCGCTGAAACGCTGTACAAGTCACTACTTGATGTAATTTTTGCTGTTGATTGATCGCTTTCAGATCCTGAGAAGATCCTTTCTTATTTATGATAGAACCTTTTTTTATTTAGGATAGAACTGAATTCAACATAATTAGGTTACTGTTAACTAAATGGCTCCCAGAAAAAAGACACTGATACACACTGTGCAAACAAATTCTTAAGGCAATTATTGATCCGACTTTCAAACGAAAGTAACGGATTATTTGTGCTCGGGGTGTTTTTTTTCTTCAGACAAGCTTCGAAATTATAACTAGCCGTTTTTGACCACATTTTTTTATTATCAAATTTGACCACATTTTTTAATATCAGGTATTGTTTTCCTGAGCTTAAATTTGAAAAAATATTTTACTTGTGATCATTTTTTGTTAAGTTATGGAGTTATGGGGGTTGAAAGGTGGCCATTTCGGCCAATTTGGGACAATTAACGGGCGATATATTTCGCGCTACTAGCCCGTAAGCGGAGATTTAATCCGTCTTAGAAATCGTTCCAAATTGGTTGAAGGAAACTTATTTGCCATAATTGATTTGTTACTGGGAGCGAACAAGTTAGGTTATTAGTTTTTACTCAAGGTATTTTGGCCTGTGGGGGATGATTTTCACAAAAAATCTCACTAAAATAATCCAATTTGTTTTAATACATTTAATTTTTTCATGTTATTACTGCTCCATAAACCTTAAAAAGCAGTCGGAACATTCAGGGTTTTGCCGTGATACGAGCAGACTTGTTATTTTTGAAAAACTCATAGTAGCTGTGGAGAAAAATAGCTTGATCTTCAAATTACTGTTTGGTGATTTTGTGTGTTTAAGCTAATTGTTGTTTCGATTGATATAAACAGCTGTACTTTTAAGTTACCTCAAATTGATCTGTTGTCATCCACAGTATAATTTATTTTAACTTTCAAACCTAATTGTACTGAACATATTTGAGTTACGAGGAAAATGGCCATAACACCCTCAGTTATATCAAAAGTTATACAAAAGCCTAATTTTTTTGGAAACATTTTTTTTTCTTTTTTCAGAAAAGCTCTGTGTGATATTAGGTAAGAGTTGCGCAAACAACTGGTAAAATAATCGGTTTGAACACAGCGAACAGCTGTTGAAAAGTTTTTACTTTAAAGATGGAGCAAATGATGATTTTTTCAAACTGCGATTTCTGTGTCATACAAAGTTCTGCTTAATTTTGAAAGATCTCTCGTTATTTTTTGCTAAGCTTTCAAAATAAGATCATTTTACAAAAACGAGATAATAGCCGATGAAAAATTGCTCAATGTGTTTGTTTAAAAAATTCGTCAGAAAACAAAAAACTTTATTATCAAAGATGCATTTCAGATACATTTTCTTTTGTTTTGTAAAAAGTGAATAAAACAAAAAACTGAATTTATTTTTTAAGATAGCATATTAAAATTTCAGTTTTTTGACTTATTTTTTGCTTTGAGAATTGAATTGGCTTTAGAAAAGTTTTTTTTTTTTTAAAACTTATTTCCAATCCAGGGTAAACTGAGTTATGTTTTTTAGCATTTCCAACTTTAATAAAACAAACTAGTATAACAAACTAATGAACTCAGTTGTTGAAATGTATTAAAAAGATTATGTTAATAAATTGTGAGATAGCTAAGTTGGAATACAGATGCCGTATCATGCAAGACCTTTCAAGACTTATCACTCATGCAAGATCTCACAAACTAGCCCATCGACTATAGTTCTCGCGAAGGAAAACCCAAATGAGCAAAGTTAGTCAACCAATCGATGTCTTTCAAATATATAAAAAGCAAAACCTGGCAGATTTTCTATTTAATGTCTATCTAGTTTTTGAATATTAAATTTTGATTGTCAAACGGGAATTTCGAGCATTCAGTTCTTCGATCCCGATAATTTTGCTCCGCTTTCTTTACTTAAGACAAATTTTTACTATTATTCAACAAAAATTTAAGGAAATTCAAATCTGAACTGCCTCTATTAGCGGCTAACTATGATTTTATTTCACAAATTTAAGCTACCAAGGATTCTTCTATTTTCAATGCTGCGTTTTTTTTGTTTCCAGATCGAGCTGATACTTATTTTGATTCTGTCAAAAATAACCTTGAAAAATGACCGTGGTTCTGCTTAAAGACCTAGCTCGCATATTAGCGCTTTTATTTGAGCTTTCCATATATGCCTCAAAGCTGCATGTTAATTAGTATCACCTATCAATCTATCTGACGATGAATGAAATTCAATTTTTACCATTACGGCTGATCCCTATTATCATGAGAATCTTTTATTTGACGTATCAGCATAAAAGAAACAACTTCAGCCAACTGTTCTTTTCAAAAAATCTGTTCATAAAATTGAAATATTGTAAGCATAACACGAAAAACAACATTTAAAAAAAAAATACTGATAACTGTTATATCTGCACAACATACACAAAACGTCCTACAAAACCAATTTTTTTTCGAACTTCACCGTTCTTGCAAGGGTATCCAGTAACCGTCCAAGTAGCCACCAGCGGATTTGGGGAGGGGACGAACGCTTCCCTTCCCCTCAGCGATTCGACCCCTGCAGACCCCCCGGGTTGACCTCCATAGACCGAAAATACTAATCATACAATTTCATACACTTAGTCTATGGAAAATTGCTAGTCATACAAATTTCATACACTTTTGCAAAATGAGTTTAATCGAATTTCAAAGGTATTTTATAGTTATTTGGTATCAAAATTGGTATCTCTTCATAAAAAAGGGGAAAAAAATGGTATGAAAAAAATTGCTAACCATACAATTTCCATATATGGAAATTGTACGATTAGAATTTTCTTAAAATTTTTTTTTTGTGAAAAAAAGCTTTGATCAATCAATTCAACTGCTGGCAATTCAACTGCTGGCTTTTTTGGGCTGCTACGACTGAAAACTTAGACTTTTTTTAAATTTTTGTTTTCTGAAAAAAAACACTAGTCATACAATTTCCATATATGGAAATTGTATGACTAGCATTTTTTTGAAGGCGACAAAAAATTTTTGAAATTGCCCCCAAAAATTTGTTTTTGTTTTTTTTTCAACCGCAAATTGATTTTCGTATTCAAACAAACACTTTTTGAAAAAAAAAATTTTGCATGCGAAATTTTATTATTTTTTTCAAAAACGCTTAAAATTCCTCTTTCTTTTGTACGACATGTTTTTTTATGCCTTGATTAATGTCTGGTAATTTAAAAACTCAAATTCTAGAAATAATCATCTTTGAAAATTATTGCCAAAATTTAAAAGTTCATTACTTTCGTTATGTTATTTGTCTGAGACAGTAGTAACACATGTCAAGCTGTTTCCAAGGCATTTTTAATACCAGACGGCCAAACCGTTGGTTACTACGTTTGAGTAATCAAGGTTTATGTCATTTGTGTTCGGCTTACGAACACAACCGAAAAATTTTGAGAAATTAAAATGTAAAAAATCAATATTTTTGGTTTATGGAAAAATGCTAGTCATATAAATTCCATATATGAAAAAAATACTAATCATAGTCCTTTCATGCAATTTTCTGTACGTATGGAATTGTATGGAATGTGTATCACTAGCATTTTTCCATATATGGAAATTGTATGACTAGTGTTTTTGCTCATCCCGGGGAGCAAATGGCTCTTTTCGAGTTCCCTCACCCGGGTTGACCAAAAATGCTAGTCATACAATTTCCATATATTGAAAAATGCTAGTCATACACTTTCCATGCAATTCCATACGTACAGAAAATTGCATGAAAGGTCTATGATTAGTATTTTTTCATATATGGAAATTGTATGACTAGCATTTTTCCATATATGGAAATTGTATGACTAGCATTTTTGGTCAACCCGGGCCAAAGGGTCCCCTTCTGTACTATTTTGATCTATCATTTTTGGTTGACAGACCCTAAAATTTGTTTAAAGATAACGTTGGTGCCAAAATACACTTAATTTGAGGATGGGGGACGCGCACCAAAAAAAACGCAATTTTTTGGTAAACTTTTTCCAAAAAGTGCCGACAAACGACTTTTATGGCCGGTTAATACAAAAGTTTGCCTGCGGCGCAGAAAATTTAGTCAAAATGGGGTCCTTGTAGTGATTTGGGGGAGCTTAGAAAACCATTTTGCTCGACATGAAAAAAGGTCGACTAAGTTTTTCAAATTTTTTGAAAATCCGCCAATGCAAGTAACAAATTCTACATCCGCCCCTGCAAGTAGCAAACAAGGCTCCAACAAGCCAGCACTGTAAAAATGTAAACAGAAAAACATTTTTCAAGACATTTTTCAAAAGCTCTATTGAAGGCGTTTTTTATTTTGGTTCACTTTCAATTCAAACTATCTAAAATGATTTTAAAATTAAAAAAATCGCTTCCCAAAGATTCTTTGTTGACGAAGAATCCTAGGCGATAGTTCAATTTCGCTCAGTGAATGGTCAGAGCATTTATCAAAAAATTTGATTGCTGAAAACTTCACGTTTTTTTTGCTAAAACCTAATCGGGTTTTGACAAAACTGGCAACACCGTGTAAAAACATGTTCTTTTTTGATCAGAGATATAATAGGATTCATGTGCCTAGCTTAGGATTAATTTTTGACATTAGAACAAAACTGCTCTGCTCAAATTAAAACCCTGGATGCTCCAATTCAATTCAATCTGCTTATTTTAGCTTCAAAAAATGTAAACAGTATAAAAGTATAAGTTAGCCGGTTGTTGTGCATTTAGTTCCAACCACAATTTCACTTGTGCTGTTTTTGTCCGGTGTGGGATGAAGGGATCAGAACGAAAACCTAGAATTTAAGCATAATCAATTGTTTTAGTAATTATACGCATATATGGCTCAAGTTTTCATCAAATCAAATTTTATCAAAAGTTTTTTTCCAAATAGGCGCTAGAAGATTTTCAAAAATTAAATTCATTGTAGTAAAATTAAGTTTTTACGACTCAAAAAAGTTTTTGTTCTCGCTTTTTTGCTCAAAATTGAACTAAAAGTCAGAACTATCAAACCAAAGTCTTCAAAAATGTTACTGCTCTTCGAATTATGACAGAAAGGTCTTTGATATGACATGAACATCGAATCAGTCTGATGGTAACTAATCAATTCTTGCGGCACCATACTTTTTTGAGGCCGGCCAAAGTAAATTTTTACTAAATTTTGTTAACGCCCCGTTCCAGAAAAAAATCGGAGCTGCGAGCAAGTTTTTACAAGAGAGAAACAGGTCTAAAACAACGTTTTAAGGATTTTTTACAAAAATTTTAAAAGCAATGCGTTTACTGGCGCTCGCTCTACCCTTTAATTTAGCGTATATTTCCGCCAAAAGCGCCTTTAGAAAATAATTAAGGTTCCCCAAAAACCACTAGTGTGCGGATTCGTTTGGCGAGCTCAAATAGCGTGATGCGTTTTTGCACAGAACTCGAATCAAAGAAAATCGAAAAATGCTAAAAACGATAAATAAATTCAACATTTTGGGCATATTGTAACTTTGAAAGACTTATAATTCGATCGCAAAGTTACCAAAGTGGAAACGAATGATTTTGGTCAAAAGTTTGTAGCTCAACACTCGGATGATGTATACAAAACTAACAAGACTGCTCGTATCAGGGCAAAGCCTTGAGTGTTTCTACTTTACTAAAAAGTCTATGGATTAGTCTTTGCTTAAAAGATAAGAAAAAATTTCAATTTTTAGTTTTTTTTTTCTAAAAATTATCGCCTCACTCGCTATTTAAAGTAAAAAAAAATCTATATAATGTATATAGCAAAATTTTGAAAGTCACGTCTTACTTCAGTTTGAACGATTCCTAAGACAGATTAAACCTCCGCTTAAGCGTTACTAGAATGAAAATATAGCGCGTTGATTGTCCAAAATTGCAAATGTTGTCAATTTTAAACCACGAGAAATTTTTTTAAACTCCGTCATTTCCTTCGAAAGAAGAAAACACAACCAAGTAAAAACCTTATTTCACTCTCTTTGGTTACCAGAAAAACTAATTGACAAACTCTGGAAGAGGGCCTGTTGCCGATATCAGTGCAAAAATTTGATGTTCCGACTTTCAAAGAAAAAAAGAATCATTTGTACTCGGCGTAGTTTTTTTTTTCTCCAGACAAAATTCGACTGTTAAACCAGCATTTTTGCAGGAATTGTTTGTATAGCTCCCAAAAGGCTTTGTTATCCTCAGTTCAAATTTACAAAAAATTTCACCAGTGTTTTTAGTAGAAAGATAGGGTTTAGAGGAAGGTGGAGCAATAAAAAGAATGGTCCAAGAAAAATCTGATCAAAAAACCCGACGAGTATTAATTTTTTGGGCTAATCGAAAAAAAGCTAGCAAAATTATCAATGCTACGCACAAAATTTACAAATTATAGACAAAATGATGAACTTCATCAAGTTTATTTTTTAAGAAAATCCGATAGATTTTGTTGTTCTTACTCAAGTGATTTATCGGTTTATCGTTTGAAGATTATCTTTATAGCCAGTTTCCGATCATTAACGTGCGATGTATTTTGAGCTACTGACGCGTAAGTGGAAATTTGATCCGTCTACAAAATCGTTCAATATTGAATTGAAACATGCTATTTGGTCAATTTGACAGTTTGCTAAAGCGAACGATATCAGTTTGTTCTCCACTCAGCTTGTGCCGATAGAGGATGGTTTTCAAAAAAAAACCTTGGAAGAAATCAAAATTTGTTTTCTGAAAAAAAAAACACTTTTGAGGTAAACACTGTTCCATAGAGCTTAAAAGGCAGTCGGAACATTCAAGGCTTCGCCCTGGTACGAGCAGTGAACTTAATCATCTAGTTTGAAAAAACTTTTTTGTGTTCAACGTTTTTTTTGCGTTAAAAGAAACCTTTAAAGTAAAATTAATCTTCTCCATTGCAGAACTAGCGCAAAACATGCAGAAACTAGTTTTGTCAGAACTCATTCGGCTACAATTTGGGACAACTAATGAAACGTCTGTCCTTTACATCTTTTTCCGTCTGTCTGTAGCCTTCTGGGTTTTTACTCTGCCACGTCCAGAAATCTCTGCCTATAATAATTAAATGTTTTTTTAAATTGTTTATGAAATTTTTGCTGGTATTTTGGTGGGGGAGTCATCATAGCCGAATAATGTTTATTTTTTGACAAATTGAAGCTTGCAATTAGATTCTGAAACCAAGGTTTAATTATTATTTGGGAAGGGCTTTCACATTAGTTTGAGTTCTTTTCCGTTCGTTAGAAACGTGGCGTAGAGGATTTTTTTTCAGTTTTTTGAGTCTCGTTAACTACAGGTTATTTAACCAGTGGTTAACAACATTCAGGGGTGGGGGCAGGGGATATTTTTTATCACCAGTGGTTAACAACATTCAGGGGTGGGGCAGGCGATATTTTTTTATTCTTTTTTTCTTAGTTTAGGCACAGGATCTATCTTTTTATTCTGATTGCGCACCGGATAATCTTGCATAAATGTTATTTCAGACCAAAAAAAATATTCTTGTGGCCGTAGAACTTATGCTCACACATGGTTTCCAGATCACGGGTGGCTTCCCAGCCTAAATCTCGCTTAGCCAAAGAGCAGTCGGCATACACTTCGGTTGCATCGCCCTCCCGTCTCGGCTTGATGACATAGGGGATCTCGGCTCCTGACGCTTTCCGGAACGCCTCCACGACCTCTAACACCGAGTGTCCTTTCCCAGTTCCTAGATTGTAAATTAAAAACTTTTTCAGAGAGTTGTCGATTAGTTTTTCGAGGGCAGCCACATGTCCAATTGCAATGTCTACAACGTGCACGTAGTCGCGAATTGCAGTCCCGTCGGGAGTGTCGTAGTCGTTCCCGAAAACACCCAACTCGGCTCTTCGGCCAGTGGCCACTTGTGCTACGAAAGGCATCAAACAGTTCGGAACTCCGGTCGGATCTTCGCCTATAGTGCCGGACTCGTGAGCTCCGACCGGGTTGAAGTACCGGAGATTGACTGCATTGAAACTCTAGAAGCAAAATTGAATTTTTGATAATAACATACATCATAATGAAAACATTTTAAAAAAAATAGTCTCGAACTTAGAGTGCCTCTGCAATTGCATTTACATCAATTGAATTGCATATATTGGTGTTTTAATGTGAAAGTTATTGAGTTTTTAAAAGTTTTGTCAAATTGCGTGTTGGTAGATTTCCGATGTGAAGAAGCGTTTAGAAGAGTTTGTTAGCTTCGCTGCTTTTGTTTGCTTGATTTTGACCAAGGTCATCAAAGCGTGAAAATGGAGGAAAAATTCGAAAATGTAAAAAAAAATTTTGAACTCTGAAAACTGAATTGTTAGCAGTTGATTTTGTAGGACTTCAGATCATTGCAGCGTTTTTTCCTGTTTCTTACAACGCCACTTTTTTGGTGTAACGTGCGATCTAATAAGTTAAACTATGAAAAACAAATATATTTTGAGCACGATAATTATAGTCAGCATATCATTTTGTAAAGCATTCAGGCAATGCGACTAAAAGTTAAAGAAAAAAGAAAAGGGCCTTCGTTACGGAGGATTTATTATTTGCATTTTGTTGTTACGTTTCAATTGCTCTGATACAATCAGGCCTGTTTCATGCATCTTTCTTTTTTTTTCAGATTGTTTATCGCTTTTTTGCAAACTTTTTCTAAGAGATTATGTTTTCCGTATCTACAGCCAGCCATAAACCTATATTCTGCGCTTTTCGCAAGGTGTTAACCTCTTTGTTTTTTTTTGGTGGAAGTTTTTGGTCCTAGCATATCTTAGTGGGGGTCGAAACACCACCCTGAGCAAAAAAAAAGACATGCAAACCTCGTTTGCCCTGCAGTAGTCCGAGAGCATCTGCTCAATGAAGTACTTGGTCCTCCCGTATGCACAGGTGCACCCCCCTGCAGGTGTCTGTTCCGTGATTGGCAGCTGCTCCCTCGAAGGCTCCCCGTACACTGTACAGCTGCTGGAGAAGATGATGTTATTGCAACCTGACTCAGCCATGCACCTGCAGAAACAGAACTATTTGCTGATTCTAATGGGCAGATCTAAGAATTTCGCGAGGTAGGGGGAGGGGTGGAATTGTCGGATTTATTGAAAAAAAAAATTGTCGACCTTGTTTTTTTAGTTTAACCAAATTCATTTCTGAGCTCTCCTAAATCACTTTAAAACCCTATTTTGATCAAATTTTGGCAAAATGTTATGATAACATGCCAATTGCTTTGGCGCGCGCCCCTTCTAGTAAGAATTGTTCAAACACCACTGGTATACTCAAGCTAACTACGCTAAATTATAAGAATAAAAGTAATTGTGTTGAATTAAAACTGACTGTTGTCTAAAGAGAACAATAGTGATGCGAAGTCCAATGCACTTCGTATACAGCACAACTGACTGGTAACTAATTAGTTGCTAGAGGTCAAGGTTACTACGTTAAAACACACAATCACAACATTCCCCAATGCACGAAAAATTTGTATATGCACTTCTACTAAGTAGCCAAAATCACATTCATACTCCATTCTCCCTTCACCCCACGAGGTCCGAAGTTTCAAACAAAAAGAATCAACTTACAGCACCAATTGAATTTACAAGAGAATATACACATGTACACGGAGATGAAATTAAGATAAATCTTACAGGCTACATACACTTCGATACAGATACATGGAATAATTCAAAATTAATGAAGACAAGTAAAAAAAATTATGAAAAATGGGGGTTATGTATAAAATAAACAAATAAAACATCATAAAACTAACCTAAAGTGACAATTGCAATAAAATTTGGTCAACATAGAATAGAACAACTAATATGTCTGCTAAGAATTAGGAACTCTACGTATTAAGAATTTAATACACTGATGTGGAAGCCAATGGCAAAAAAAGGTGCATAATCAATCTGAATAAGTTTTGAGATTTTAAACTGCTGAGTTAAATGAGTGATGGAGAATATCTGCTTCTACTCTTATTTTCGTATCTAATAATGACGAAATATCGCTCCCCCATCTTCTTTATCCTCCAAAGGAAGTTTATCCGCAAGTGAGTATAACTACGCGAGTTTCGGGTCCATTGGAGATGTGGTCGAGTGAGAGCCTTGAGTCGTCTCGGCCACTAAGGTTGGTCTTGCTGGGATGTCCTCCAGAGGTGTCAAGAACGCCGAGGGGGACTCGATAGTGTTGATGGCCTGGCATCTGTTATTTGAGGAAAATGCAATGAACGGTTTCTCTTCTGAGTCCACAACGTCTATTGCAGCAAGCAATGGTAACACTTGCTGTATCAAGCGCCTCTCTCCATAAAAATTTGGGGGACCTGGGTTTCTTCTCTGATGGGACGAGCTGTATGAGGTAGTTTCTGGTAATAAGTCTGTTGGCTTCTCGGGAGAACTCTCTATAATGATTGAGTTCTCTCTCGTGGCCGGAAATGATGCTAAATAGTCCAAAGTTGAGTGATTGCCAGATAATAATCGTCTTGGATGATCTAAAGCACTTTCACAAATGAAAGACTGAGATTTAGAGTGAACCCCAGAGTCAGTGCCCAGATAGTCTTCTAAAATGTTGTCCCATAGGTCTAAATCTAAGGATGATGATAAGTCTGAGTTAACGTAACAGAAACCTCCTTTTCGTCGATGTACAGCCCGATGGTTTGCTTGAGAGTGGAGGACCTGCTTCATTTGAGTACTCTTTTTCAGTTGGTGTGTTTCTCTTACTCTTCCCTGCTTATTCAATATTAATAATTTAAGTATTTGGGACGGACGAAAGTTTTTAGAAGCCAATGGTTGGTTTTTTCTTGAAAGCGAGATCCGATTTCCTTAGCACGTGGCCGTTATCTAGGGTTATCGTGTGTTTTGTGTTTGAGATAGGTTTGCCAACAAGGGGGTTAAAATACGGTTGACCATACGTTCTGTTCGTTGTCTTTCTATTCCAATTAACTCCATGGGTGGAGGCGTTCGACAATGGGGCTCTCGGTACTATTTGATCTATTTTGTCTGTTGGATCGCTCTCATATCCTCTGTTGTCTGGCATAGTTTACTCCAGGAATCCATCCTCTGTGCTATCGTTTGCCCCCGCCCCAGTTCTGGGCTCTCTTTTTTGACATAATCGACTTCCTCCCTTTATCTAAATGAACGATGTATGAGACTAAGGATTTTCAGAAGGTATTAGGTGATCTATTAAAATTTACTGAAAAAGTTGTACATCCAATGAATGGTTGTTTCGTTGAACGAAGATTCCAAAATGATTTTATCGATTGACTCATTTGAAGTCGGTTTGGGTTTGTTAAGCAAGATTGCCATGAATTTCGCTTTGACTGTGTAGTTTGGACGTTCTATGTCTCATTTAGATCTATGATTTCCCACATTACCTAAATTTAAATTAATCATATTCTTCTCGCAGAAGTTTTTGAATTCATTTGAAAGGAAGCAGGACCCGTGGTCTACTTGGATTGATTTCGGGAGTCCATGTAGGTTGCAGTAATTTGTCAGAAATGTGAGTATCGCAGAAGCTAAAGTTTTTTTTAATACCTTAGCCGAGATAAATTTTGTGAACCTATCTATACATAAATGTAAATTTTTTGATGTGCCCCAGTTTTTGACCAATGGGATTTATTTTTTCCTAAGGTTTTGATAAATCTGGTTTTTCCTGCGTATTGTTCGTGCCCAGAATGGCTTTTTGGTTCGCACCAGCTTTTATACACTGACCACAATTTTTTCCGTGGTGGTAAATTTCTCGGGATAAGTGCGGCCACCAAATGTTATCACCCAGTGCTTTCATTCCGAACTGTCCTGGAGGGGTCTCGCGTAACAGTGTCATGAAAGGAGATCTAAGCGCTGCTGGTACGATCAATTTTTTATCGATAAATAATATTCCTTCGTTCACATGAATATCCCGTTGGTAGGTCTTCAAACACAAAATACGCCCCGAATCTATCCAGTGGTCTAGCTTCTTCCACCGCTTTCTTCACGTCTTTGAGGATTTTATCTTTGTCTTTCGTCATTCTAATGAACTTGTTTGAACAGGGGTCCGTAAAGACAAATGGCGATGAAGGTAGTTTAGCTCTCCATTGTACTTTGTAAGCTACTTCTGATGTATTTTGGACATATTGTCTTTCTCAAATTTCACAGAGTTTCCTTGATTTTCCCCACGAAGAGATAATTTTGAAAATTGTACTGAAGCTCGACATTCTACAGGTTTGGAATGATTTTTTTTGATTTAAATTCGAAAAATTGATAATATTGAGGGTGTTAAAACGAAAAAGTACGATTTGTCGGATAAGAATGTTTGGTTGAATTTAAATCTGGAAGGGTTTAATGGAATGCAACTGCTCGTACAAGACTCTGAACGTGAGTGATTAGAATTGTAAAATAGCAGTGTGTCTGTGACATAATTAAGAATGCTCGCAAAGAACGACCGTTGAATGTTTACGTTCACTTGATTATCAATCAACAAATCATTATTTATACATTTCTTCTTTTTACAGTGACTATTTAGAACAATTTTTGCTAAAATCTCGTTAATTGTTGACACCACAAATTTTTTATCGTAATGTGATGTTTGGAGGGCTTTTTTTGAGGGTAATCTAGACAATAAATTGATAAATCCTATTTCTTTTCCTAAGATATGTTTGACTCTGAAAACAAACGGCAAGAGTCGCCTACTATTCACCCAACGGGAGAGCCTACTATTCATCGTTTTATTGCTCTGGTTTCCGTTTAACGCCGATAACAGTGCTCTATGATCTTCAAATTGCTCTTCAAACTCTGCGCCGTATAAATAATTTTTGGAATGTTCTGTTGCCCAAACCATCCCCAAAAATTCTTGCTCATTTTTTGAGTATTTTATTTCGTGGGTGTTTGAAAATCGAGAAGCGAATGCATTTGTTGACCAAATTTCCCCATCCCATTGTTCTAATGTAGCCTTTAAGCTGTCTAACGTCTGTTTTCAGTATTGATGTCTTTCCTGTATCAAAACGATTATTCTCCGTTAGATTTCCAATTTGTTTTTTTTTTCAGTTCTTCGAAGGTTTTCGTGTGAGAACCATCCCAATGGTATACTGATTTTTTGACTAATAAAAGACTGAGCTCAGTGCTTGCAAGTTGGAGACGAATTTCAGGTACTGGTCTGCTTAACCAAGGAATGATCCTTATTCTAAAATGATTTTCGGGCTCGGAAGATTTTTTTTGAATCCGATTTCCCAACCAATAGTTTTAGTTTTGTGTTTGAGATCTTGAACACCAACCATTCGATATATTTTTGGGAGAACGCGCTTTTCTCCCACTTAACTGCCATGTTTTTGCTTTTTGAGATAATTAAACTTTCGAAAGGATAGCTTTATTTTCTTTCAAAGAACCTTTTGAGGCAATTAAAATATCAGCGATGTAACATCTGGTAAACGGAAAATCGTTTAATAACGAATCCATTACTCTTTGGAGTTCGTTTGGCATGTCTCCCAACCCATAAAATCCCGTTTAAAATCAACATTTTCCGCTAGTTTCACGCCTACTATGCTAAAATTGCATTGTTTACACGTATGATTGCATAGTTGGAACTGGCTCTACACGTTTTTCAAATCTCAGTTACTGAAACACACTTTACCTAAAATTTGTTTTGAGAGTTGGAGAGCGATGTTGTCGATAAGTTCGCGGAATGTTTGGCATTTGATTTTTACTTTTGAGCGTCTGGTCGTTTAAGAGTTTAGAGTTTAGAATCTAAAACTAATTCAAAACTGCCATCTTTTTTTCTTGTAATTACGATTGAGCTTATGAAAAAGTCTTTGTGGCATTTATCTAACTTCACAATCTGCCCTTCTTTTTCCACTCTAATCATTTTGGACTTTACGTTTTCCAGTAAATGCAAAAAAAACCCTTCTACGTTTGGTTTGAATTGCTTTAGGCGGAGATTGGAAATGTGTAAGATTTCTATCCAACGGTACTTTTCTTACTCTGTTAAAAAGTCCTTTGAAATTATTTTACATATTAAGAGTTGTATTTGAATGGACATTAGACCCACACGTA